GCCCACGATAGATTTTAATTTTTGAATAAAAAGCGATGATCGGGTTCGATTTCTACAAAATTCGCCTCACCTTAAAAACACCTCAGATGTTTAGTTAGTTAGTTTAGTTAACGTTCCAATAAAACATAGCTCTAAAGATATACAAAATTTAAAAACGAAAAAACCATACGGACCCTGTGAAATACGTATGCAGGCTTCACGGCATTTTATGGTTTGCGTAGAAATTCATCTGTCCCTGTTATATGCTTGGCAGTACACGAAATGGAGAACGTTAATAAAAATTCATGTTTTTGGGAAGTTTTTACTGCCAGAGAAAACACCTCAGGAGTGCATAAAAGTAAGAAACGATGCTCGCGAAGTGCGTATCTCAAGTTTTAATACAGCGAAAGTTTTAACGGGACTATTCTATTGGTATGACGGGAAGTCTTCGGGAGTTTAGCGAGGAATATTTCACCATAGTCAGAGCTTAACGGCGCTGAAATTTAATAACAGCGTAGTAAAATTTCAACTGTTATTAATTCATTCTTGACGTTTCTGAAGGAAGAACTAATAGTAGAGATATATGTAGATATATCATTTTCTAGATTCCTTCAATAGGGTGCGATTAGTTTATAATTAACTGCAACATGGTCTGGAATTGCCTGAAATGAATTTATTAACATATAAAGCGCTTCTTTCAAAATTTCAAAATGAATTAATAATAGTATTTTTTTTTTTCTAATTCCACTTTAAGGTTGGTCGAATTCGCGGCCTTCCTTGAGTGAACTCGAAACCACAAATGAACGACTACTTAACTTTTTTTATTGCCCTTTTAGGCATACGACCATACTGTCCATCTGATGGTGAGTGGTTACCGTCGCCCATGGACTTCAGCAATGCCAGGGGCAGAGCCAAGCCGCTACCGAATGCAAACTAATTTAACATAGGACGAATTCGGAATAGTCTACTGTCAAAAGGTGGTACGGTACCTGACTTACAGAAATCTATATTACCCGCGTCACTGCTTCAGCCGCAAAGCGAAGACTTGCAGAAAAACTTGAGGTACAGTAGATTACTGGTGGTAGGACCTCTTGTGAGTCCGCGCGGGTGGGTACCACCACCCTGCCTATTTTCGGCCGTGAAGCAGTAATGCGTTTCGGTTTGAAGGGTGGGGCAGCCGTTGTAACTATACTTGAGACCTTAGAACTTGTATGTCAAGGTGGGTGGCGCATTTACGTTGTGGATGTCTATGGGCTCCAGTAACCACTTAACGCCAGGTGGCCTGTGAGCTCGTCCAACCACAAAAGCAATAAAAAAAAAAAAAAAAACGGCTCCTCCAGTTACAAATAACACGACTAAGACACCATGCCTGCTTAAAGCCTAAAATGGATGTCAATTGTGCACGTGCTGTACGCTCCATTTGGAACCTTACAATTTTAGGATACTGAATCCTTTACATTGTACTGAAAACTTCAGGTCACGCTAAGGTCAAACGCCATTCCACGCAAGCACGTCCTCCTCCAATCCCCCAACAAAACGAGCGGTAAAGCGAATGAACAGAGCCAGAATGATTTGGAATCAATAATTAATGAGTTAATCAATTAATTATCGTAATTTCACTGTGCCAGATGCTATCTTACAATTATAGGAAATTTGTGAATAAATTTCACTAAACGCATTTAATTCAATATAGATACACAATCCTAGTCTATAAATTAGGATTCGTTAGTGATGATGCGTTTTATAGAACTAATTTCAATGTAATCCGGGTACAAAATTCAAATGTCCACAAGTCAATAACCATAACACGTGATAATGCCGGTAAACGGTGTATGTTGTCCGGTTAATACCTCAGCTTAACCGGTAATGCTGCACATTAACCGGTTGCAATGCACCCGATAGACCAGCTATGACCTGTCAATGGTGAATGTTGTTTATTCAAATACTGTCGAAACGTAAACATATGGATATGACCCATTAATAATAAGTTATTTTTAATGGAATAGCTAAAGTAGCAAAAGGCTAAGATAAAATCGAATTTTACATAATTTTTCTTTTTATTCTTGCCTGCTTGGACCTTTTCTAGATAATAACGCGAAAATAATTCGCAGAAAACTTTATGCTATGCTCTAAAACTTTATGCTATGAATGGCTCTTTCTGAAATTAATCGAGTACATTGATGGTACCTATGTACGTGGTCTGCAGAAGAATTTTTTTTTTTTATTGCTTCGATGTGTGGACGATCTCACAGCCCACCTGGTGTTAAGTGGTTACTGGAGTCCATAGACATGTACAACGTAAATGCGCCACAAACCTTGAGATATAGTTCTAAGGTCTCAGTGTAGTCACAACGGCTGCCCCTCCCTTCCAACCGAAACGCATTACTGCTTCACGGCAGAAATAGGCGGGGCAGTGGTACCTACCCGTGCGGACTCACAAGAGGTCCTACCACCAGTAAAATTGTGTAAATAATTATCTAATATACATACATTTGCATAAATATAACGTCCAATTTTTATGTTTTCCTATCCCAGAGATAGAGAGTGAATTCGATGAAATCGCATAATGGGAAAACTAATATGTTTTCCCATAGAATTGGTCAAAATTTGACAAACTCGGTGGTGCAATACGTCCCTAATTGTTCATCTGGAGGTCATGGGTTCAATTCCTACATGGGCAAAAATTCTTTGAAAACGTATTTATACCTACAAAGAATCTAGTTTGGGACTAGACGATCGCATGGTTTTTCCTTCTCAATAACATATTATTACTTATTATACTATTCTTTACAATGTAAGGTTAAAAAAAACCTTTTATAAATTATCCTTGTCCAAGTCAATGTACGAAACTGCATTGGGTGACACCATTTTCTCTGTGAGGAAGAAGTTAAAATAAACAATCTATACATAAATATCAATTTAAAACTTATCCCATTTAGGTCTATTTTTCGAGCTCACGAACCAATAATAATACCCTCAGTTTAACTATTGAAAAATGTCACAGGCTGCTTTGCAACGTCGATTCACGACATTAACCGTAGTTTGGAAATAAGGGGCGGCATATGAAAAGCACTATAACATTAGTTCAAGCGGTTTTCTGGAATTTACGTCGTGGGTTATGACAAAACTTATTGAATAACATTTTTTTATTGGTCATGGTGGTTTATCAACGGTCAATGAACATATGACTGTAAGTTAAGTCAATCCTTTGCCTATTTATCTTCGCTTTCAAAAACACATATTTTAAAATAGATAAGTAATGAGCTTCTTTCTCGCGCTAATACATAGCTTCGTAGTGCATACCAATTATAAAGGACTGGCCACATTGGAGAGAGACCTGATATCTATGCTAAGCTAAACAAGGCATTAGGTATCACTTTATGCTCGTACAAAATATGTTTACTACTTCGTATGATGTGGTGTTTTTACATTTTATTACTTAGGTAGTGAGCTTCGATGGATGAACCCATGTCCTACCTGGTTAAGTTACCTAAAAGTTAATTCAAATTTCTATGGAGTTAGAACCTTTGCCGCTAAGGGCGGTGTTCCAACTGCATACAAATTTGAGTTTACTCTTACGCTATCGAGAACGTTAAAAACTCGCACTAAGCGCACTGGAATCAGTTAGTATTGAGTCCATATGATTAGTTCTGCGAGATTTTCAATTTCGTCAATAACAATAGAACAGCTAGTAAATTTTCATTCCTAAAGTCATTTAACACTAGGAACGCCTATAATTTATGCTAATACTAACGCCGATCAACGAATTACTACACCTTACCAGTAACCGTTCTTGAGAAGAAACTTAGAAGAAATGGTGGTAGGACCTCCTGGGAGTCCGCACGGGTAGGTACCACCACCCCGCCTATTTCCGCCGTGAAGCAGTAATGCGTTTCGGTTCGAAGGGTGGGGTAGCCGTTGTAACTAAACTGAGATCTTAGAACTTATATCTCGAGGTGGGTGGCGCATTTACGTTGTAGATGTCTATGGGCTCCAGTAACCACTTCACACCAGGTGGGCTGTGAGCTCGTCAAGCAATAAAAAAAAATGTAACCCTGTAAAAAAATGGTAAGTCCATGTTATGACGACTCGTATTCCAATGCACAATGCATTGTCGGGACAGTAATGACGATCGTTTGCAAACCATTACAACGAAAAGGACAGGCTAAATATCAAATTACATGTAATGTTCTATTCGTATTTTGCAACAATGCTAGGTGCCTTTAGTATTTCTGCCATATGTTTTGCGGGAATACCAATATAATATATTGTTTTTATGGCTGAGTTGGGTAGATAAGCTGACCGCCTATCTAGTGTTAAGCTGGAGCCCATAGACATCAACAACGTAAATGCCACCACCTACTTTGAGACATGAGTTCTAAAGTCTCAGTTTTTCCAGTACAACAGCTTCCCTACTCTTCAAACCGAAACGCATTACTACTTCCTGGCAGGTAGGTGTATCTACCCGTAGGAACTCACTAGACGTTGTATCACCAGTAAATATATTATATCAATTAGTTCTAACTGTATTTTATTAATGTGTGATTAATGCCGAGAATATTATCATCGAGACTAAGTGATAATTTGACATATGAAAGCAAAACACGAAGTTTTCGTGTTAAAAGATAAGCAAGGCCACTGTTTGCAATGTAATAACGAAAATGCTATCATTTAGCTTATCGTCTGAAATAACACAACTATTAGCTATATCTCTGCTAGCCGATTGTCCAATTGCCAAACTTTGACGATTAAAAGGCGGCAAAAGTTGGACATTTAGCTGAAAAGGAGCCTCGGAGCATAGGGGCCAACTAAGATAAAACTTCTCAAATTGTCAATTGAGTAGCGGACTTAAAACAGTTTAGCAAGTAGCTATTTCATTTTCTGTTTAATGTTTGTAATTAAATTAAATGAAGACGATTCAAAGAATTCAGTTTCTTTTGAACAGGAAGCTTGGATAACGCAATGAAACTCGCTACTGTTAATTAAAAAAGTTTTTAATAAATCCAATTAACATTGGTGATCTAAATTTGACAACTAGTAATATCATTGTTCGGGTCGTCAAGTAAAGCGAAGCAAATCAAACTGGGCAGTCTCCTGAAAGCTTCGTTGTGGCGATTTCTATCAATCTCATCATTAAGAACGATCGAAGGCACGAAATTAATAACTGCCATTGGTTGGGCAGCGGCTGCTTGAGCTCTGGTATCCAACTCATCACCAACATTCGCAACACAATGGTCCAAATTGACCAGATCCAAGCCAGCCTCACGCGCGCAGACGTATGAGCCTTGTATAAAAGACGGGAAAGGCGGAGCGTATTCGCATTGCATGTAGCGTACTTGGGCATCCTGGTTCCCGCGCAGCATATTTAAGGCACACCGATGAAGTCTATTCGCCCAGCAGTCGTTGACTCCAAATTGGCAAGTAAACTGTCCATTCTCAAAACGCGTCCTACCCCAAGGTACGTATTCAATTTCTAGGTATTCTTTGTACAGGTCATAGGCTTCTTTAAGCTGTTGGCTGATAAAGTTCACGGTGTCGGAACATCCGGCGGTAGTGCCAACACTGATTTTGATCTTTCCGTTAACAGTTTGGAGAGCTTCAACGTATGTGCAGGCTAGCACGAGACACAGAATCACTTTCACGCTCATTGCGACTGCTCGGTGCATGCGTGTGGAAAGAACTGACACGTTATCATAAACAATATACATTTATTAGATTATATTAATTTGCCCCTGTAATATATACTTGAAGAATCATGCGGATAATAAATAGATAAGGCTGCCTTGAATTAGAAAGATAAAACTGAAATGTCTATCGATTAATTATATTATTATATATGTATGTATGTACTTGTTTTATTAAATATTTTTTTGCTGATGATATAAATTAGTACTGAAGGTACCACCATCATACTCGTTGCTGCCGCAAAGCAGTCATGTCTTTCTATATGAACTTCTTCTTTTTCCTCCACCTTATCCCACTAGGTGGGGTCGGCACAGCGGAATTTTCTATTCCATTCTCTTCTATCAGCTCACTCCTCTCTCTCTCATATCGTCATTCACGCACTCCATCCATGTTTTCTTGGGTCGTCCTCTTCCCCCTTTACCTTGCACTAAAATTTCCATACATCGCCTAGTCCGTGTCTTCCTATCTGAACGATGGCTGCATTCACGTTGTGACGTCTGTGAGGCTCCCCTGACTTTGAGTGGTATCGGAGCTAATCAACATCACAACGTAAATGTCGGGACTTTCCTAAAAAAAGGGCAAATTCTCACTTGTTAGTATCGAGAACTTGGACTGATTTGTGTAATAAAATACAAGCCTCCAAAATACTAGAAATTTTGTAAACTTCATAAAACAAAACAAATCTAAAACAATCCCTTTGTTCTCGGGAGCTTCCCTTCCCCTTTCAAAGTATTTCAAGGTAATCTCATAAGATTACATCACAAAAACTCAAACTCTTTAAGCTTCCATTTTTATTCGGGAAATGTGTTTTGCGGGAAAATTTTCTTGTATAGAATAATAACAAGTTTGAAGATAAATTTAAGATAAACTGAGAAGCATTAGTTTATGGGAAGACTTTCATTTTTTCAACTTTGAACTTTGCAGCTTCATTGAGATAGGTCTTATAGATCTGGAATAGGAGTTTTAAACAATGCTCTAAATTAATACTGCATTTTATGTATATATAAATTAGTAAATTTAATTATTTTTTCAGAAATACTAGATTCGTTATAAAATATATACAACACTAATCTGTTTTAGATTTACATCTTAAAGTAAAACCATAAAATAAAAGAAAAGTACACTAAATTACGTCCCTAAAATTATAAAAAGTGCACTAGCAAAAATCCCTAGAGGGTAGTAAAAACGAGCCTAATAAGTCACCTTAATCTTAATTCACTGCCTCCAAACACCAGGTATTCAATTACGATGAACATGTTTAAAAAATGTCAGAAGCCCCTCTAAGTGCGAGACCAACCACAGTATTAATGAAATTGACTTCCCTCGGGATCTTCAGAGACCCCTAGGTTCCGTGCCCTCAACGCGATCGGCATTGTTCCTAAACTATAAGACAAAGGTATCGATGTTGTATCATATTAATGAGAGCCCATCAAAGTTGAAAGGTTGGTTTTAATGAAGTCCAACTGATACGGCAAAGTTTTGAAACAAGATCAAAGGCTTGATTAAGTTAACGACGAAAATATATTATGTATAGTGTCTGTCACGTGCTAATTTCTGGTCAATACATTATTGTAAAGATGTTCAGTGTGGCAGAGAAAAAGAATATATTTAGTGGTCATAAGTTTGGTCATAAGTGCTTCAACTGTTTTATTTATATATTTTACAGTTGTTCATTGCTGGATTTATTAGGATATTAAGTCTAAACTTCACGTTGGAAATGAATCATATCTCACACCTTAATGTAAACGAGAATCCAGTATGCTATAGAACAGATTTAAACTTTGTGGAAGCAACCGCAGAATCTCATCAACCGCCTCACATGAAAATAGCACGTAACGCCCTCGCTAATGTTAATTAATTCCATCACCACACACAAAGTGGCATCTCCGGTGACTTCGTCCCTACTACCAATTTCAGTCGACAACCGACGAAGAGAGTTAACGACTCCATACGTCCTGGTTACGGTTACAATGGGGCTCGTAAAATTAATACCTTACCTTTAAATCGTCGGGTTGCCTCTCCAGATAGTAATTTCGCCTTAAATATTTAAGTTTTGTGCGCACCCTCCGCCCTCAACAAGATTCAATTTCACGCCCTAAAAAGGGGTCCGTTTTGGACGATTCGTCGTACCTCAAATGTCAGGAGACACGAAAGTGTCCACTTTAAGGAGAGCTGCAGCAATTAACCCTTTATGAAATGGGAGTGAGACAGCTCAACGTCAGGGAAGCTCAGGGTAAATTTGTTTGCGAAATCGACAGAACCACTTGAAGCATTATCCGGGTGTATGCAGAATTGGAAAGGAGATTCTGAATTGAATCAATCTTGCGTCAAATTGGCGAATAGAAGAAGCTGCACTTTTTGACGTCCCTTTTAAGTTGTTGATTCCATTTGAAAATTTGATTCAAAAAGTTTTCTCCTTTGATGCGAATAAAAGTTGTAAACTTCTGAGAAACATTTTGACATATTTTTTAACAAAGTTACTCTTTCTGAGTTCATAATGTTTTGCTAGAAATTAAATCGAAAACGCTATAAAATCTAATCTAATTCTCCACCTAGAACTCGCCTCACGTAATCTTCGGAACGACCTCTTAAATCACACATACCACTATCTACAGCCACATGATTAATTTCATTACACGCGTGCTCAGATTTAATAATACCTCAAGTTTCATTATTTGCTGAAATGATTAAGCGAAAACAGTCGAATATGTTTCTACATATTATTATTTACATCAACAGACACAAAGTCTTAAGACTTTTAAATCATCATTTGTATTTTAAGATATACATTTTTTTTGTTTTTTTTTATTGCTTAGATGGGTAAGGACCTATTTATGTAGTGGACTGTATGATTAGGATGGGCAAGGAACTTGATAAATAAACTCGCGAGGATAGCACGTATAAAATTTGTATATTTTTAAAATGTTATAAATCGCGTACAATAGCACGGAAAAAAGAGAATGACAAGGGTGAACGAGCTCACAACCCACCTGGTGCTAAGTGGTTACTGGGGCCCATATACATCTACAACATAAATGCGCCACCCACCTTGAGATATAAGTTCTAAGGTCTCAGTATAGTTACAACGGCTACCCCACCCTTCAAATCGAAACGCATTACTGCTTCACAGCAGAAATAGGCGGGGTGGTGGTACCTACCCGTGCGGACTCACGAGAAGTCCTACCACCATGACTACACATCATTCGTTGTGGTTTGAATACCTTATAAACAATTTGTAAAGAGTTTATTAATATTAAGGGGTTACGCCAAGTGCAGCGTACACAGAGGTTCCATGAATAAAGCGAATGAACGCAGTGGCCTGCGGACGCATTTGGGTTTCATACATCATGCACAGGGCTATCAAAATTATATAAATAATAAGATTAAAAATTAAAATAAAGATTAGATTGTTTTTAGATTAAATTAGATATAAAATATAGATAATTATATAACTATAGATTAGATATTAATATACATAACTAATAACAATAATTTTAGGTACTGATTTTTAATTAGGTACTTTAGTTAGACCGACTCGTGTAAAATAGAAACAATACATGAACAACATTTTCTCATAACAACATTGAATGTTATAGAGACGTAAAGACTCAAGCTCCCGTACAAAGACTTTGTACTCTGTTCACTAAGTCAGTTCATGTCTTATTTCCCCAAATTATTTATTTACTTCTTTAAAACTCATAGTAAACAACAAAATATACAATACATGATTGATTACCGCGGATTAAAATGACAACGAACGGTTTTATCAATCGCGACGCATGAATGACAATCCCCGATTATCACGGCGTTTCGCTCACTTTAAATGCTTGACTACATTCTTCAGCTTTGATGCTCAAAGCAACGCGACTTGTATAAATCATTTGACAAATACAGTCAGGAAATCTATATACTAAATATCTACGCGAAGCAAAAACTTTGTACCCCTTTTTACGAAAATTGCGCGGACGTAGGAGTATAAAATTTCCCACGCTTATAGAGAATATATAGTGAAGGAGTGCAGAATGCTATTTTTTTTAAATTATGCATTAATAATACATTAAATCAATAAAAAAACATTACACACACTACCATGTATTTGACACCCACACATATGTATACTCTATGTTTACTGTCAAAATTTTGTTGCTTATAGTCTGTGGTCAATTTGAGAATAGGTTAATATTTTTTATTAGTTTGTCTATAGTGTAGTTTTGACGAAATCTGTGATTATAGAAGTATAATATAAGTCTTTGACAATAGAACCATAATAATGTTCAAACTTATAATTTTAATTAATTATACTCGAATTTCGACTACTGCGGGACCACTAGTTTGTTTAAATGATCCAAAGTGATGACGTCACTTAATTTAAAACAGAAATGTAACTAACTCGAAACACAGACGTTAATGTCAAATTGCTTCTAGTGCTATTCAGGCTTCCAGTTATCACCGATAGATGCGGCTACGATAAATTTAATTTAACGAAAGTTTTAAGTAGAAGCCCTACGAGTTATGAAACAAAGGCTATTAGCATACAAAGAGGTCCGGCGGCCGCCCTGTGCACAAACACCGATACAGTTCCCCAATAAAATTACTTTTATTGCTTCATCTGTTCGTACGTTCCGGCAGTCCGCAGACTGTTCAAAATACGAACTTTATTTTTCTGTTCATGATTATTTTTTTACTGCTTACATGGGTGGACGAAATCACGGCCCATCCAGTGTTAAGTAGTTAACGGAGCCCATAGACATCAACAACGTTACTAACGCCACCCAACTTGAGACATGAGTTCTAAAGTCTCTGTACAGTACAATGGCCGCCCCATCGTTCAAACCGAAACGCAATATTGCTTCACGGCACAAATATGCAGGGCGGTGGTATCTACCCGCGCGGACTCAAAACACTTCCACTACTAATTACACTAATTATATTTTTACGGGTGTTATATTTTATATTACACGATCTGTGACTTGTGTTGTGACCATCGTATATGACCTATCCTCGGCTATAGCTATTATTACAA